ATTCTTATCTCTGCTCCAGGGTTCCTATCTCTACCCCATTCTGCACTTCTCTTCCTCCTGCTCACACCTACCTAGACCCTAGTCTGTCTCTGGGCTTTGAGCTCCACCTCTAAGGTCTTTGTCAGCCTTTCACAGGTCTCGTTATGCTCAGCTCTGTAGAGGCAGACCAGACAGTTTCTAGTCAGGCTATTCCCATGCAGCTCCTTTGAGAGTTCCCAGGAATGTTTAGGGGACACATAGGTGGGCGGCTACACTGGGGGTAGTGCTGAAAGGCTCTCTAATAGCCTGGCCTGCTCACTGACATTGTTTGCCAGCTCACCATGGGCACCAGGGGAGTGCTTGACTGGGTTAGACCCATGGTGCCCAGTTCAGTGATTGAGTTGACCCAGGGAATGTCAGGCAGTGTCTGGAGGTGTTTTGGTTGTCAGGGCAAGGGGATGCTATTGGGACAGTAGCCCAAGCTGCCACTGAGCGTCTTGCAGCACACAGATAGCCCCCACAGGCTATCTGGCCCCAAGCATCAGTCTTGCTGAGGTTGAGAGACCTCAGTCAAAGAGGTCGGTTGGCAGCCCTGAGGGACTTCAAGTGCCAGGCCAGCTGACCTTATTGTGGCAGTAGTAATCACAGGATGGTGTGAAACGGGCTGGGCCATCAGCCTACAGATTAAGGAACTCTGGGATCTAGTTGGGGTCAAGCCAACTTTAGGCAGAGGATGAGGTAGGGTGGGCCCCCAGGAGCAGAAGAGGTTGGGGCAGTGCATGTTCAGGGTGTGGCAGAAGGAAACAGCCAGGCTATCCAGCCTCCTGTGGCTTCATGGGCCCTGCAGTGGGCAGCTGTTGGGCTTCAGTGCTACGCATGGTGTATGGTTGGGTGAATCAGCCTTTGGCTGGTGACGTGGCCATGAATGTCCCTCATGGGTAGAGCCCTGGTTTGTCATTGGCCTTAGTCTCTCAGTACCTTCCCACCTAAGAGGCTGGCGCTACCAATCCACAGCAAGTGTCCTTCCTCAGGGCCTAGAGCTGTGTCCTTGCAGAGGCTGCAGGCCAGAAGGTCTGGGACACGGAGCAAGCCGACAATCCCAGGGCTGTGACTTTGGAGCAGTGCTGGCTTCTAGTGCTTAGTTCTATTAGCTGGCTCCACGCCTTTTCCCTAGTGTTCGTGTAAAGGGCCAGGCAGCTCAAGCTATAGAGAGGGGTCCATCCAGTGAGTTAATGGGAGGAGGCCCTGGCGACAGCTGTGTCATCCTTGGCACGTGTCAAGTGTTGAACCAGTAGTGTCTCTTTTTTGATAGCAGCCAGACATTGCTGCTTTGAGAGTATAGTGATGAGTGTTGGCTGGTACACCCTGCCCAGGCTCCTAGAGGGCCTCTGACCAAGGGCAGGGGAAGCAGCAAGGGCTGGGATTCCTAGGTGGCACTGTCAGCCCTGTTGTCCTGTCCCATACCATGTGGTGCTCCCTCCATCTGGCCCCTACCCCTCAGCCAGCAGAGAAGCCTGCTGGGCCCTTCCCCTCCTGTCCCCTGTCCTTCCTGGCCCTCTGCACAGGTAAGTGAGGGTGAGGGGGGGCACAGCTGGGGACTGGGGCCACAAACCCCACCCCGGGCCCCCCCAAGCCTGTGAGGTTGGGAGGATGGGAGGGTGTGGAGGAGCCAGCAGATACCATGCTGAGGAAACCCTATGGGTACCCGAATGGGGGGCCTCACCCCATGCTCGTGAGGCCCTCCCTTGCCCACTGCCCACCTCATCACGTTCTCCTCTTGTCTCCATAGCTTCCGCCCTGCGCTGCCTGTCTCCTACCTGCAGGCCGAGCTGGCCTTCGAGGGCGAGGCCGCCTGCCGGGCCTTCCTAGAGCCCCTGGGCCTGGCCTACATGGGCCCGGACAACTCCAGCATCGACTGCCGCCTCAGCCTGGCGCAGCTGTCAGCCTTCTGAGCACCCAGCGAGGATGGGGGTGGGGGGCAGGGGCTGCAGCCCTCCAACACCGCCTTTGCGGATTTTTTGAGCCGTGGACTTGGGTTGTAAATTATTTTGTGGGGATCAGGCTCCAGGAAGAGCCACTGTCCCTGCCCCCGTTTTCCCACCGGGGAGTCTGTACAGAGATTTTTTTCTACATTTTTATTTTTTGCCTCAGAGGGATGGGATTGGGGGAGGAGGGGGTGGGACAGTGGGGGGGACTGGGGACATGGTCTGTAGGCCTGTCTGTCACCTTTCACCTCCACTAATGCTGTCTCAGTGTTTTTTCTCTCTCTCTTTCGAGCTTGTACTCCGGTACCCGACCCGGCACCCTGGCCCATCCCATGCCAGGGTGGCCAGTGGAAAGAAGACAGGCCGTCCAGCCGTGCCCGCCTGCAGCGGGGGCACCCAGCAACCAGCCCACCGCCTGCTGCCTCATCTGCCTCATCACAGACTCTGTTGTCCAGCCCTCTGGGGCCTCAGTGTGTTGGGGTGAGGGGAGCTGCCTAGAGACTGTGCCTCACCCTCCGGCCCCCACCCCAGAAACGCCAATGCCAGCAGCACCACCACCAGATCCGCCACCACAGCGCACTGAGGACTCCGGAGGTCAGCGCGGGACCTCGCCGGCCGGGCCGCCTCGTCTCAAGTTGTATTAAGTTGTCTCCGTGTCCCCTCTTCCCTCCACCCCCAATGTTTCTTCTGATTTTTTTTTTACCCTTTCCGTCCCTCCTCTTCCTGCTTCCTGTTCCTCCCTCGGTTCAACACAGGTAAAACGGTCACCCTCCCTCCCCACCTTCATGGATCACCAGCTCACGTCATGTTCTTCTCTTTTCTTTCTGTGTGTGTTTATTTCAGTTATTTTTCTTCTTCCTCCCCCTTTTCTTTTTGGCCCGCCCTCCCTCTTCTGCCATGTAACTGGAGGATGTGCTGAGTTTGCAAACAGCTGGACTGTCGGGCTGCTTTTTTTCCAGATGTTCTTCCTCTGCCTTCCTTCCCCCTCTTCTCCCCCCCTTCCTTCATTCTTTCCTTGGAGCACTGACCACCATTTGGAAGCTTGAGAGAAACCAAAATTAAAGAGAGAGAGAGAGAGTGAGAGCGCGCAAGCTTGCTCCTGCTTGGACTGTGCTTGGTCCTGAGGGTGTTTGGGTCCAGTTTGTCTCATCCAGGACTCTGGGACATCCAATCTCTGCGGGATGTCTCAGGCAGAGGCTAGTAGGGGCACCCTCTCTTCTTCCCCCAGGAGCTGGTTCCCCACTTAATGACTCAGGCTGTACCCAGACTTGGGGAGGCAATGTGAGGTGTGTGTGTTGGGGGTGGGGTCGGGCTGTAGCACTCTGAACCCCTTGGCCTCCAGTCTCTGACCCTCCAGGAAGGGCACTTTTGCCCTGTTCCCTGGTGTGAGGGATGGTTGGGCACAAAATATCTGGTGGCGCAGGAGTACTAGATCCTGGAACCTCAGTAGGGGGATGCTTGAAACCCTGGGACCAAGAGAGCTGGTCTCAGAGACCCAAGTGCATTGTGGTCTCCCTAGTGCCTGATGGCTGCCAGAAGGGCCAGCATCCAGTGCGGGGCCTGTGGGCACCAGGTGTTACTGCACTTCGGCAACTTCAGCCTATAGCCCAGCGTTGACCACCACGAGGACCACGCAATGTACGAGGCGGGTGTGGGCCGAGTACACAGAGCACTGGCCAGAATGGCCCTTCACGCTCTGGTCAGGCCCAGAACCCCACCCCCCTGCTGCCTGCCCAGCAGCTCCGTGGTGCTGGTGGCCACTGTTGGCTATAGTGCCATGGCCTTTCTCTTGAGAAGTGCCCTATTGGGGGCTGGTGTTACCAAACTGGAAGCCATCCCGGTTTCCTTGATCTCAGGCCTAGCAGGACCCCTGGGTCCCGGACGCTGAGAATGCGAGCTCTAGGCGCCGGTGCCTGCGGCAGCTGCTTGACCCTTGCCTGGGCCGGCTACCCGCGGCTAAACGGTGCCTGCGCCGGGAGTGTTGGCAGCAGTGGGCGCCAAAGTGGCTGTGGCCCCCGGGAAAGTAGCAGCAGCAAGTCGGAGGGGACGGAGGCTCCAGGGCTGAGGCCTCCAGCGGCAGCTCTGGCTCTGTAGCCACCGTGGCGGGTGCGCAGACGAGGCCGCCTGTACCGAGGGCAGCTCTGCCTGGATAATGTCAACCTGACTGTGGTCAGCGACCCGCGCTCCTGAGTACTCATCCTCCGGTGCTCAGAGGACTGTCCTGTCCGACTCCCATGGAGGGCCTGACACCTCCGCCCGGGACCTCTCGGCAGCGCCCTCCTCCGGTGCCAGGAATCTACGCTGCAGCTCTATTCCCTGTGCGGCAGTCCTGGACACCCGGACTGCTGGAAAGTCCGGCCCCGCCCCTATGCCAAAAGATTTCCTAGGGTGCTTCCTCACCTGTGGGGGATCTTATAGGCCCCACCCCAGGGCCAAGTAATTTACATCTGTGGCCCTGACCTTCCGAGAGCCTTAAAGAGACTGGACACCGAACTTTGTAGTCCAGACTTGGGATGGGGCCTCCTTCCTCCCTCCGGCCGACACACTTAGGGTACTAGAGGAGAATTCTCCAAGGGGGCCCACGACCCTTGAGGATCTGAAATTGTTCCCAGCCACTTCCTTCTGCCATTTCTTCCATAGTAAAAAGCAGTGTCTTCCTAAGATGCGAAGGACCAGGAGGCTGAGGCTCCCTGGGCCTCAGCCCTCAGCCGGCTCCGCCTTGCCCCGCTGGAGCTGATTTGCAGCCCGGCCACGAGTACCACTCCTGGCAGCCAGCCTTAGGTGCTCAGTAAGAGTGAAAGAGCCCAGAGCAGCGGCCAAGTCTTGACCCCGCTCCCTGAGAGGAGCAACAGATGGCCACGCCCGTAGATTCTCTTAAAGGAGACGCAACCCACTCTAAGGCTATCATCCAACTTGGACCTAACTCCAGGTGACACATTTGCGTCTCTAAGGAGCCAGGACCGTATCTTCCCCTCCCCATTACCATCCCCTCTGCAAAGTGTGCAGTCAGAGGCCCGGGTACAAATCTTAGCCATTTATGTATACAGAACTGGGGTGTCAGGAGAGGAGGGTGCAAGGATTGGGGGAACCTAAAGGCCGATGACGTCGTCCAACTCGAGGGCCGCATTGGGGCAGCAGCGGGCCCTGGGGTGCTGCGTCCCGGAGGGGGCGTCCACGTCGGGCTTGACGGCTGCAGCCACTGGACGCGCTGCGTCCATGACGCCCAGTACCGCATCTAGCATGGAAGGGCCCAAATCCAGATGGAAGGACAGCAGAGGGTCAGCGGGCGCCGGTGCGCTGAGGATGGAAGCTGGGGGCTTCGGGACGGTGGGCGGCGCTGCCGTGCGAGGGGCGCCGGTAGGTGAAGCCCGGGGCTCAGGAGGCGGCCCGCCGCCATGGAGGCTCAGGAAGGAGGTATCCCCGAAGGCATCGCCCCCGCGCCCCACGTGCAATGTGTGTCGAAAGTCACCTAGTGGCGCCGAGATGGACAGGGCGCCTCGATCTGGCCGCTTCTTGGGCTGCGTGGGGCCCAGCTGCTTCAGCACCGGCATCTGTGAGGGGCACAGGCGAGTCAGCACTGCCTCCACCCTGGGAGTTCCTGATTCTGCGTCCCCAGCCCAGGGCTGAGCCAGCCATGCGGTTATCTCAAAGGATGCTGTTGATAAGAACAGTATGATGGTGGTATTATCCCCATTTTACAGGTGGGGAAAATGAGGCTCTGAAAGGTTCAATGCACACAGCTGCTGAACTGAAATCTCAGATTCAGATCTAGGTTTGCCTGACTCCAAAAGCACATGAAAACCACGCTATGCCGATCCTCTTAAAACCTAGTATTAGAGCCTTCCTATAGATGAAATAACAGCAAAACTACTTCACAAACCCTTGCAAGCGCTTCCCAAACTGACTGATAGAAAACTTGAGCTTGTCAAAGAGGGAAACCCCAGGCCCCTCTCCTGAACACAAGGCTGACATTAGGCAAAGCAGGCACAATGCCTAGAGCCCAGGACCACCATTCATGGCAGAAGAGGCTCACAAAGGCTCTGCCCAGGGTGCATAAAAGTCATAGAGGATACTAATTCTTAGGGTGCCCCTAGGGATCTGTTATTGGCACAGCATTTTATAACTTGAATTATTACAGTCCACCCTGGGTATCTGAAGTTCTGAATAAGCAGATTCAAACAACCAGAATCAAAAATTTGGGGGGAAAATCCTAGCACTCTGGGAAGCCAAGGTGGGTAGATTGCTAGAGCTCAGGAGTTTGAGACCAGCCTGAGCAAAAGGAAACCTTATTTATGTATTAAAAAAAAAATAGCCGGTTTCATTGCACTTTTCTCTCAATAAAGTTGTTTCATTCCCCCCCCCAAATAATAATAAAATAAATAATAAATAATTTTAAAAAACCATAGCTGGTTATTGTGGTGGGCATGTATAGTCCCAGCTACTCAAGAGACTGAGGCAGGAGGATTGCTTGAGCCCAAGAGTTTGAGGTTGCTGTGAGCTATGATGCCACGGCACTCTACTGAAGGCAACAAAATGAGACTCTGTAAAAAAAATAAATAAAGGGTTGGGGAAAAAATTTAGAAAAACAAATCAAAACATTATGAGTAATATAAGTATTCTAGAGATTACTCAAATTGTATAGGAGGCTGTGCGTAGGTTATATGCAAATACTAGACCATTTTATATATGGGACTTCAGCATCCTTGGATTTTGGTATCCATGGGATTGCTGAAACCAATCACTCTCACCCTCACACCACCCCAGCCCCATTAGCTACTAAGGGGCAACTGTACCTGATTTTGAAAGACCACGGCCTGATAATATGATGTCTCATATTTTGTAACATAATAATAAAACAAATTCCCCTGAGTTAAAAAAAAATCACAGGATTGGCATAAACTTAAAGCTGGCAGCTTGTAAACTGTAAACTAAGTTCTTGTGTGCATGGCTAAACCCAATCCAATGGTAAACAGAAATGGAGCCACGCACTGCCCATATCCTGGAACTTGGCTGTTTTCTGTGGAACTTCTGGGAGGGACTTCGATGACCTTGTACTTTTGTTTTAACAGTGACTGTTATTATAATAAAAAACAGTATTTATATTTCAATTGGAGCCCCACCCTTTGGCAGCCATATGAATTAGGATAAATTACTTTTATCTCCCTGTCTATCTCTCTGGAAAACAGATAAAATAACACTAACTTCCTTGCAGGGCACATAATAAAACTCAAGCAAAAAAAAACTATTTGTAATATGTGTAGTCCAAACCAATTGGTAGTGCTCATACTGGAGGAAGAAATGTGTCCCTAAACAATAGTGTGAAACAAAAATTAGATTTGATAAAACACTATGAAGAACAAAAATCAGCTGCCATTGTTTTTGTAGTAACAGGCACCCTGGGAAGTACGGATAACAATGTTGTGGAAAAATTAAAGCCAAAAGGATTTAAAATAATTGTTGATGGCTGATATTCTGAAGATTGCCCTCCACCTGCCCCCTCTCCACTCTCTTTATATGTATTTCTCTGGGGAAACCAGTCTTGGTTTACCTCCTCTACAGTGTATATCAAATATCTCTGACTTCAACTTAGATAAATAAATATCTATTTTATTGTAACTTAGTACATGATCACCACTCACTCCCTCTTCTCCCTTAATGGCAACAAAAATTTTATGAAACAAGACTTCTTATAACATAATGGACACTATGACGTTTTCTATTCTGATCTGTTTTATTTTAAAATGTTGAACTCAGCTCCTTAATGAATCTGAATCCACAGTTTAAAATAAAAATTCTCTCTACATGCTGGCAGAGTCTATTATCTCAGCACTTGCTCCACATTGAGTGAGAGGTGAAAAGAGTTGAATACAGAAAGCCAACTGCTCACATTTGGATCTGGGTGGTACCTGATTGGTGTGTGGCTTTGGGTAAGTTACTTAACTTTTATGACCTTGTATCCTCATCTGGAAATGAAATCATACTAATATCATGCTTCATAGCCCTTTTGCAAGAATTGGCGAAATAAGACCCATATAAGTGATACATAGTCAATGCTCAGTAAATAAACGCTTAGTGGAGTCTCACCTGGGATTGTTCAAGCAAAGGCCTAGAGAAGGAAGCAGATGCTCAGGGAGGGTATGGGACTTGCTCAAGATCACAAAGCCATTTTCATGAGACTCTAGAGCCTAGCACTGTCAGCTACCTCTTGATCACACCCCTCCCTGACAGCTCTCGCTACTACTCCTCATAGCCCAGCTCCCAGCTGGGTCCCTTGTCCCACCCTTCCACTGCCCTAAAAGTCACCACTTTTTGCCAGCACTTGGCAACATATTAGGGTCCCAGTTCCTGACAATTTTGCCATTTCCTTTTTGTGGGACCTCAAGCTATTCTCTCTCTCTCTCTCTCTCTATTTCTATCTCTATCTCTTTTTTGAGACTGACTATCACTCTGGTGCCCAGGATAGAGTGCCATGGTCTCACAGCAACCTCAAACTTTTGGGCTGTAGTGATCTTCTTGCCTCAGCCTCCTGAGTAACTGGAACTACAGGGGTGCATCAATATGCCCAGTTAATTTTTCTATTTTTAGTAGAGACAGGGTCTTACTCTTGCTCAGGCTGGTCTTGAACTCCTCATCTCAAGGGATCTTCCCGCCTCCACCTCCCAGGGTGCTAGTATTACAAACATGAGCCACCATGCCCAGCCCAAGCTATCTTTCTCAACCTAAACCTCAGTTTATTCCTCTGAAAAACAGGAGTCAGAATTCTTGTCTGTTACAACACACCAAATAGTATACTCATGATGCTGACATTTTATTTCTGAAACACTTATTCTGGGTCAGGCACTGGCATAAGTGTTTCACAAAGATGAACTAATTCATTTAATCTTCAGAACAACCCAATGAGGGGGGAAATTATGATTATAATGTCTGGTTTACAGATGTGTGATGGCTGAGACACAGAGAGGGCTAAGTAACTTGCTCTGGGTCACAGAGCAGCAAAGGCTGGGGGCTGGATTTGGAATCCAAATGAACTCTGGAGTCTAAAAATGATATTATATTGCTCAGAGCCCTCCATAGGAGAGGGTGGGTGTGCAGCCCCATGGGGGAAAAATAGTATTTGATTTGATATAAAGGCCAGGGGCTTCCCTACACGGTGGCTCTCCCCGCCCCCCTTTTCTCTTTTTCATTCTACACAAGAACAGTGAGGTAGAGCTCATTTTCAAATGCCACCTCTTCTCCTGAATAACTTTGCGACCTTGGGTAAGTCTGTTCACTTCTCTGGAGTGGGTGTCCTTTTAAATAGACGGCTGTCCCTCTAGTCAGGTTGTGGAGCTTGATGTAGTGATGTCATGCCTGGAAAAAGTTCCTCACGCTGCCCAGCCTCACCGTACAGAGGGGCTGTTGTTTGTGACCAACGCTAAGCAGCCAGAAATCCAGGCGCAAGGATGGGACCCCAGGACGCCCTGTCCGCCTCCACCCACCCTCTTTTTCCTGCCCCCGCGGGGCCACCGCTCCAGCTGCAGGGATGTGGGGGCACAGCTGGTTTGCCTCTGTCCTCTCTCAGCCCCAGCCCCGCCAGGACGGAAATAACCCGCTCTGGACCCCGCCCGACTGGTTCTCAGACCAAAGCTACAGGCAGGGGGATGGGTGGGGCCGAGGCAGGGCGCAGGGACCCAGGACTGGGCGACCACCGTACCCTCCCACCCCCCTCCCCGTCTCCCCACGACCCGTTCAGGCTGCATGGCGCTCTTCCTGAGGCCACGTGGCTGTGGCCGGGAATCCGGCGGCCACCGACTCCTTGTCCTTCAGTTGCTCTCCCTGCGACAGGACCTTCCCACCACTGCCCCTTACCTCACGGTCCTCCCTGAGCCGGCCAGGTCCACTGCCTCGACTCCGGCTTCCACTGGGACCCCTCTGTCCCCAGCTCGGAGGCCTCCTCCGCCTCCTGGTCCCCTGCCAGTGCCTTCTTCCTTCTTCCTTGGGGCGGGACCTCACCTGGCAAAGAAATGCCATGCGGAACCCGGAGGGGATTAGGACCCAGGCATCTGGACCTGCAGTGCCACCTCCTCAGGCCCCCTCCTTGCCTCTCAGGTCCCTGGAGTCTGAGCTCCTAGCTCTCTTAAGCCCTGTCAGACCCAGGGGTCCCCACACCTCCTCCTCCCTCAAACCCAAGGGTCCCCCTAGCCTCTCCTCCTTCAGACTCAGGGGTCCAGACCCCCAGCCCCTCCTTAAGTTCCACTAGTCGGGTCTCCAGCCCCCTCCTCCAGACTCAGAAGTCCCAAGTCCCCAGGCTCCTCCCTCAATCCTGAGACCCTTAAGCTTCAATCCAGGCAGGTCTTGACTTAGGGTCCCTTCTTTACCTGCACCGGGAACTACAGTATCAGCCCCTCTCAGGGGCCATGGTAAGAGCCCAAGCAGCTGCGTAATCACCGCCAGGTCCAGCTCAGTTCCCAAGTAGAGAAGGTTGAGGCACAGCCCCCTTCCAAACCTCCTTATTTCCCCAGAAGTTTGCCTCTGGGATTTAAAGCACTAGAAAGCGATGGTGGAAACACCCCGAGGCCCCACTGGGCTGAGTGTGGGCGGAGGAGGCTGGACAGGAACCGATAGAGGGGTGGGGGATGGACAGGGCCGCCCCCAACCCGGCCCCTCCCCTTGCCCGGCTTGGAATTTCCTGAAACTGGGGAAGTCTGGCTGTTTGGAAGAGTAATTTCTTCCAGATTGCAGCTGTTGGGGGAGTAGGAGGAAAGGAGAGAGAGGGAGAGAGAGCGCGAGACAAGGTCGAAGAGTGAGCCCAGCCATTGGATGAAGGTGGTCTGAAAGAGGCAACTGGGCCCTGCTTTGAGAAGTCTCCTGGATGGATGTCCCTACCTGAAGCCACTCTCCATAGTACTCTGTAGAAAGGTCATATATTACTCTGAGGACCTGTATTTGTTGGAGACAAAAGAAAGTTAGATTTGGATGTCAGAAAGATTTTTCCTAGGCCATTGCAAGGCAGGGCCTGATGGACAGGCTCAGTGGGAGGGAGGTGGAGGCCCAGGTGGGTGCTAGGCTAGGAAAAGGGAGTTGGGGACCAAGGCGGGAGGCTGGGTCCGGGAGAGGGAGGTGGAGGTTCTACCTCTAGCTGGGGCTGGGTTGTGGGGAGAGAAAAGAGAGTCAATTTAAGTGATAACAAGAAAGTGCCGTTGTATTGGGTATTGAGGGAAGAATGGGAGTTTACTGAGCCCAGGAGAGGAGGAAGGATATTGGAGCTAGGTGGGGAAGCGGGAGGGGCAGAGGGCACTCAGACACCAGGTGGTGCTGGGTTTACCTGGAGAGGCCAGCTTGAGAGCCACTGGGAACTTAGACTTTGTTCTGAAGGCATGGGGGAGCTGCAGGGAAACTACAAAGTCAGATCCAGGTATGAGAACGTTTCCTGGGATCCATGTAGGGGAGGGACTGGAGCAGGCTTGGACTCATCTTCCACAGCACAATTTAAAGGGCAAGTGGTCACCAAAACCTCAGTAATCCAGAAAAATAATATATCTAGATTACTGATTTTTATTAAGTATTTTTATATATTTTTTTATTTTTACATATACATGTGTTTACTAGGTTTCTACTTTTTGCCTTCACAAAATCAAAAAGGCTTAAAATTTAACAATAAGAATGTTTAAGATAAGGACTAGAAACAAAAACCTCATAAAGAATGAATGAAGATAAATACATTCATAAATGATATCTGATGATTGCTGCAACGAAGTATTAAGCAATAATATTAATAGTAATGCAAAGAAAGTAACATTCGCATTTCAAACAAGAGTATGTCTACCATAGAATGCTTTGACTCTGAGGTTCAGTATAGGGTCATCTTTTTCTTATTATTTTTTCCCCAAAGTCTCAAAAAATAGACAACTAATATTTATAAATAAAAATAAAAGATAATTTCAAAAAACAGATCATGCCAGATCTTACAGACAATAGAAAGAAAAGAAATACTTCAAAATCATTCTGCTTAATCTGGATACACCCGATATTAAAATTGGAAAAAATGTATTATTATAAAGAGGAAATTACAAACATAATTCACTTTTAAATGAGGATGCAGTATCCTGTATCCTAAATAACATATTAACAACCATAGCCAGTTCTGGAATGAAGTGCAGGAAGGTCAGAGATCTGGGACACATCATGTGAGAACAGCAACAATGGAGAGATAAGAGGAAAAGAACTCTGGGCAAGGTTCTGGCAGCAGCCAGGGAAAGAGAAGGAGGAAGAGAGAGGTATGTGTCAGAGCCTGGGGAGGATGCCCAGTCTGCTTCTCTTGGAGTCTAAAAAGCAGGCCAAGTATGATTTTAAAAAAACAAACAATTAAAAAAAAAAAAAGAGGTCCACTGGATTTAGTAACAGCCGAGGCCACTAGTGGCCTGAGTGAGAGCTGACCCGGGGGGCTGGGCAGGAGGCAGCCAGATCTCAGTGGGGGAGGCAACATCTATGGAGCACCTGCTATATGCCAGGCCCTGTTTGAAACAATTCTCACTATCTCTTTTATTCCTCATAGCTATCTGTGAGGTGGGTGATATTATGTAGTATTATCTCCATTGAGTAGACAAGGTAACTGAATCATCAAGGCAGGTCCTATATCAAGGTCCACAGAGAGTCAGAGGCTATAACTGTGCAGTGACTAATGCATGGGGCTATGGGATATCCTCCAGCGTACATGAGGAGAAGTGCCACAATGGGGCTGGGGAGATAGGATTTCCAATAACCAAAAGGACTTTGTGAGAGCCCCACATAGGTCTGGAAGAAGAGGAGAGAAATCCAGGGAGTGGGGAGATAGAGAGACAAGAAGGGAGGAGAGAGGAAGTCAGCACATCCTTTGGGGAAGCTATCCCATCCTTTCATTGTGATAGCTAGGTGCCTACAGTACCTTATCTCATTTAAACCTTACAATAAATTCATAAGAAGTTGGTATTATCATATCTCCATTCTACAGATGAGGAACCTGAAGCCAGGAGAAGAAAAGTGACTTCCCTAGGATCACAGAGACAAGAGTTGGTGTAGCTGGGACTCAAAGCCAAGCCAGCCTAACATTAACACCTGGGTTCTTGCCACAATCCCCCAGCAGGACCTTAGGAATCCCCTCTACCATCCATAGGGGGAAAGCAACAGCCCATAGCATTCCGGCCAAAGTTGGAAGCAATTAGTATTTGGCCCTTGCATACTCCCTCTGCTTTTCCAGTTGCTACCAAGATACTGCTTTTCTTCACAGAATCTAAATTAGACTCCCATGAACTTTTCCTAATGGAACTGGGATGTGGAGTAGGGGTGGCACTACAGATGGTCCAAGCTTAAGTTGGGAGACAACTGGGTTGAAAAGAGGAAGGAGCCTAGACTCTTCACAGAGAGAGCTACACACACAAGCAGAGCTCAGCTGTCCTTGTAAGCATGCAGACTGGCTGCAATGTGCTCCTGGGCACCTCCCACAGAGGTGGCCTATTTCCCTTTCTCCACATCTCTCTCTCCTTTCTGGATTTCTCTGTTCTTCCTCCAAATCTTTGTGGGGCTCTCATAAAATCCTTTTGGTTATTGGAAATCCTACCCACAACTGGGGGTTTACACCCACTGTGGGACTCCTCCTCATATATCCTTGAGCTCCTGGGGAAAAACCCACACACAGCTCAGTGTATTAGTCACTGCACACTCACAACCTCTGTGGACTTTGGTACAGGGCCTGCCTTGATGACTCAGTTTCCTCATCTGCTCAGTAGAGATAACAACAGCTACCTCACAGACGGAAGTGAGGACTGAAAAAGAATACATGAGAGCTATTCAGAACAGGGCAGGGCATACAGCAGGTGCCACTCCAGAGGGGCTCTCCAGGTTCAGGACCTGGAGAGATTGTCCTGTACTCTGTATCAGCGGCTCCCCCTTGTGGATGGACAAGTAACTTCTGAGCCCCACTGAGGCTCAATAAAATCCTCCCAGGTTCTAGCAACTCAGCTTTGATCTGCCCTGCACCAGCCCTCCTCAGGGTGATTAGAAATCAAGCAACTCCCTTGGGGGGTACAGGATTCCACTAAAACTTGTAGCATCCACATGCCCCATTGGAGGAAGAGACCAGAGCTTGCCATGGGCAGGAAACAGCTGCTCAGTAGATGGCTGTTCCACACAAACTGCATTCAAAGACGGGGGAAACAACCCCATTGCTATAGTGAGTGACTTCCAACTCAAGAAAACAGGGAGAAGAGGATCCAAATTCACAGATTTCACCCACCATCTCAGAAATTAACTCATCACCCACTGGTGAAAGGAGGGAAAGACAATAGGTCAGAGGTAGCTTGAGAGGTTCATCAAACCTGTTAGAGCATCCCAAGGGCAACTCAGAACCAGCACACTTCTCCCTGAAAAGGACAGGGCCTAATCTTCAGGGTCTTGGAGACAGACACATAAGCCAGCCCAACACCCTTGGCTGTCATTTGAGAGGGCAGAGGAGAAGGAACCATTTAAAAAATAAAACTCTGAAAATACGACAAATCAAAGTGAGAGGTCCCCGTCTAAAGAGAACAACGCCTTATCAATAGATACCAGCCTAAACGAAACAACTAAAATAATAGAGGAAGAATTTTGAACATGGATCATAAGAAAGCTCAATGAAATGCAAGAGAAAATAGAAACCCAACACAAAGAAGACACAAAGACAGTACAGGAAAATTTTTTAAAACACTCCAATGAACTCAAAGTATTAGAGAAAATACAAATAGAACTTCTGGTAATGATAATTCACTCAAGGAATTACAAAGCACAGTGAAAGGTCTTAAGAATAGGCTTGATTGGGCAGAAGAAAGCATTTCAGAACTTGAAGATAATATCTTTGTGCTAAGAAAGTCAGTCAATGACAAAGAACAGAGAAATAATTGAAATTAACAAAATCTACAAGAAATGTAGGTCTATGTAAAGAAGTCAAACGTAAGTGAAGAAAATTTCCCTGGCCTTCTAGAAATCTAGACATCCAGGTACAAGAAGCTCACAGGACTCCTGGGAGACTCATCACAGAGGCAGTTAGCATGACACATAATCATTAGACTAGCCAAAATAAACATGAAACAGAAACTCTTATACAGTAAGGCAAAAACAGCAGCTAACTTACAAAGAAAAACTTATCAGACTAACTGCAGACTCTTAACTGAAACCTTACAAGCCAGAAGGGATTGGGGACCAATCCTTAGTCTTCTAAAAGAGAACAATGGCAAGCCTAGAATTTTGTATCCTGCAAAACTAAGCTCCTTATATAAGGGAGAAATAAAGACTTTCTCAGCCAAGGAGTTGCTAAAGGAATTTGGGAAGACCACACCTACTGTGCAGGAAGCACTCAGACCTCCATTATACACTGACCAGCATAAATGACACCCACTCACCAGTGTAAAACCATCTAAAAGCTAAAATTCAGACCTGAAAAACCACCATGGCTCAAGAGGTAAACAAAGCAATAGGGTCTATCCAACAGGATAAACAGAAATTTACTAGATATCATGTTACCTTCAATAAATGTGAATGCCTTGAACTGCCCATTGAAGAGAC